TATAAACAAATGAAGTTTTGCCACAGTAAAACAGATGACTTGAATCCTGAAAAAAAGAACTGTTAGCCTATAATTTGTGGATACAGATACAAGTGCCGAAATAGATACAAGGTGTCAGACTGTGAACACCTTCGAATTCCAAAACATATTTGTCTACATTCTCAACAGAAAGAATAAGGTAAAGCATTAAAAACTTAATCTTATTAAGAATGAAGGATGACATAACTTTTCTTTCAGTCACTCTTCAATTACAGATACAAGAGTTTTCCAAAACTAAGCACTACAATGCATTGAAATGCATAGTGGGGTTTAGCATAATAACCAAAACAATTAAACTAATCTAAAAACAACAAAAACCAAAACAGAATTTAACTGCAGACTTGAGACTTAAGGTGGTTGCACGACTGTATTGTGAAAACAAGCAATTTAAATCAATAGATAACAGTCCAGATAGCTAACCTAACGCCACCCATTTGTTTAGAAATCCACCCTGCAACATTTAACTTTGCACCCATCCTTGCGGCTACAATATCATCACCACTGCCTCTTAATCGCTCCTGAAAATAAAACAACTCATGGAATAGATTAATTAATAATTAATAAAGTTCACTTTTGATGACAATTTGTTCAAAGACTACAAGACATATACCTCCGTTCTAGCCTTGCTTTGGGAAACAAACTGCTTAAACCACTTCTGGTCTTTAAATTGAACATCTTGAAGAATGCGGTTGACCTACAACCAACCAAAGGGATAACACAAATTTTTATCAAAAACATTAAAATGATTAGGCAATCAAAGTGATAGGCTAAATATAAGACACAAGTTGATACATTTATCACAATAAGGAAAAAAAATTCAGCATTTATATTTTCAACTGTACCTGGTTATTTTTCCCTTCAAGTTCCCAGCCTATACAAAGCTAATGAGGGAACCGACATTACCCTCAGATTCAATGTGCTCCACTTAAATAAATTTTCTTTTACTCCAGCTCTTGGAACATCCTACTTAATTAAAAGTTGCCCATGAATGAGAATTTTCTAACAGATCATATGATGAAAACCATTGGCCTAAGGTATAGTGACTCGAAACCTAACTATTTTTCTCTTCTCTCTCTTTTCTGTTATTTTCTTATTGGGTAATTTACAATTAAATTTTTGTTTTCTTACTCTACTCCATCTTCCCCTTTTGTCAATCTATATATAATAATCAACACTCCCATATTTTTATAAAATTTAATTTGAAATCCTTCCATTTGAAATGCATTAATCCAAGCAGAACCTTGGTTTCTCGTAGCATGCTACAATCACTCCACATAATGATTTGTGCCACATATACCGGGTTGGGGGGGACTTCAAACAATGTAAGCACAATATTTATCTTTCTCTTTTCTTTATGGATGACAGGTGCAGAAATAACTCCTTGTGCAACTATAAGATCTTTCTTGTAAACTTGGGAAACAAA